ATTTAATTCCTTCTGAAGAACAACATGAAAAATATTTGGTTGTACAAAACTTGTTGAGAGACAAGTAATCTCTGAGTTATCTGACATTAAGTTTCTCCATAATCCCACATGCTTACAGTGGGAGGGAAACCACTTTACATTAAAAAAAAAAATAAAAATTACACCTTATATTAAAGATTGAAAAGCTCCACACAATTTTAAGCATTCTGCATTGTCCCTAATCTGTCATCTCATTCCAGATTTCAAAGTGAGATAATATCCAGTAATGCCCAAACAAACCCATTAGCTTGACTATCTGACTTGATTTCCACATCAGTGCTATTCTAGACAAATAGAACTTAAATGTTAATTTTCTAAGAGAAGTTTAGAAAGTTTTCCCTTATTTTTTTCATTTCTTCTTTTTGTTTCAGGATCTTATCAATACCAATATCTAATTAAAGTGTTCTTAAATCAGCATCATCTTATTTTCTTTCATTTCCCTCCATTTCCATAAACAAGAGTATTTAGTTTTCACTGCATGATGATAAACTGAAGATAATCTAAAGTAATAATAATAATAATAATAATAATAATAATAATAATAATAATAATAATAGAACTTTAATTAATCTTCTGGTGGGTGTTGTTGGTCACAGCTTCTGTCAGGCTGTTACCAATGAATATCTGGGGTCAGATCCCTGTTTGCTGTTGATACTGTTATAAGTGGATCTGATTATGAAATATGAATCGAAGCGCTATTGAATATGAAAATAAAGATCACTCCTGCAGTGATTCATCAATGTCACTGAGTAGAGGTAGGACTTTTTTTAAAAAAGTGACTGTCTTGACATGCAGTATTGTAATTGTATGATACAGAATTACCAGAGAAAAACAATAACAACAAACACCTAAGATGTCTAGGATACAACTGTGGATATAATCATTCATCCTAGTAGATTCAGTATCTTGACAGGCTTGGGGCAAGTCAGCCTTTTTGTTAGGCAGCTGATTTGTGCTGTAAACTACTCAGCTGGGTCCTGGTAGCCTTCTGGCTTTGTTTTCATCAAAGGTGAGATCATAGCTTGTAATGGATATTTTGAAAGTTTGAGGGTATTTCTGGACACTGGTGGAGAACTTGCTGCCTTTCAACTCAGAAGATTAGCTGGGGGGTTCTGTCTGAATACGTGTGAACGGGTACACAAGCTTCAGGATGTAGCTGTGCTGTTGGATAAGGCAGAAGAAACAATGTTTGTCTATCCACTCTAAAATCAAAAGTCCTGTCTGCAGGCAAAGTAACTACATACTCCACGCAAAACATAAGAAAATTTTTTATATGTTTTTTTAAATCTGGACTTCACACCCAGGCTATATTAAATGAAATGATTGCAATTTTGAGCTCTTCAGTACAACAAAAGATACTGAGGTCCTGAAAAGTGTCCAGAGAAGGGATCTGAAGCTGTGAAGGGTCCAAAGCACGAGTCTTACAGGGAGTGGCTGAGGGAACTGGATTGTTCAGTCTGGAGGAGAAGGGGATCAGAGGAGACCTTACTGGTCTCTACATCTGCTTGAAAAGAGATTGTGGTGAGATGGAGGTTGAACTCTTCTCCCATGTAACTGGTGACAGGGCAAGAGAATATGGCCTGAAGTTGCACCGAGGAGATTCAGGATTGGATATTAGGAAATATTTCTTCTCAGAAAGTGTAGTGAAACATTAGAAGAGGCTGCCTGGGCAGGTGTGCAATCCCTGCAGGTGTTCAAGAAATGTGTACATGTGGCACTGAGAGACATGGATTAGTGGGAGTGGTAGTGATGGGCTGATGGGTAGACTAGATAATCTTAGAGGTCTTTTCCAACCGAAATGATTCTATGATTCTACAGTCCTATGATCATAAGGGTTTGCCACATCAAGTTCTGTCCTAATTCTCGTATTTATCAGAGGTTTTCAAGCCAGTGGTCAGTAGCAAACATAGAAATTTATATAGAGCAAGCAGAAATTCAAATAGTGTAATGAGAAAGACCTAGTGATTATGTAACTAATCTTTAATCTCTGAGTATTTACAGACTTACGCAGTGTTTGGAACTGAGCACCCTATAAAATAGCGATGTATTAATCTGTGCAGGCCAGACTTTGAGGTCTGACCAGCAGTGGTCTTGCAATACAGGATTCATTATCACACACACCTATGTAAGGTTTGTTTCTTTCACTTAGTGATGGCACACTCCAGCAGTAATTCAAGGGAAAAAAAATAAAAATGAACACACACACACACACACACAAAAAAAAAAAAAAAAAAAGGAAAGAAGAAAGAATTGTCAATACAGTCAATGGTACAAAACAATTTGAAAGTAAGAAAAAAATACAAACTACGTACTCTTAATGGTTCTGTATTTCACAAAAGAGTGGACTGAGATATTGAATCGAGTGGGAGCTTCACAACACTATGGGAAAATGGTTCAATTATGGCATTAAAATTACAGACAGGCTAGAATTTCCTGACTTAGATAACAACATGTGGACATACAGGCTCAGCCCCACACAAAATTATAAGATATATTTTCCTTCTATCTACTAAATGTATGTAGGATATAATATGGCTCAAAATCTCTTCATAAGAAGGAGGATTTGGATATCCATTTAATCTGCCTGTCTGAGCATCTGTATGTGCACAGTGCCATCGTTGTGAGACAACAAGGAACTGAAACAACCTTGATCTGTTTCAGATGTGATTAAAACTCATGGGAGCAGAACTTGACCATTTTACTTTCAATGAACTTCAATGGAACTCCTTTTGTGACTCTTCTTTTTCTATATCTAGGTCTTGTCTGCATTTCAACTGCATTTTAAATAAATTTTACATTAGTTTAATGTCAGCTCATTTTCAAATAATAATGAAACAAAGTGTTACTGAAACTACTTCAACAACAAACATAAGAGCTAAATTTAAAAAAAAAAAAAAAAAAAAGAATCCCATCACTTGCTATATTTGTCATAGAGTCAAAGAATATCCTGAGCTGAAAGGAACCCATGAGGATCAACTTGTGCAGGAAAACGAAGCATGAATGACATCCTCCCAGACCTTATCAACTGGAGTGCAACATTCACAACTCCTACAACTAGCAAAGCCCACTAGTTGTTAGAGAAAGAGACACTTGTGCATTTCATAGAAAGTTGTATGTCTGTTTAACTTGCAGAAGGCAGTAACATGACTTCAAATGAGAAATGAAATACACAACCATCAGAAGAAGAAAGTCAGCTTTGTTAAATTGCCCAGCACAGGTTGTTAGGCTAATGATATAAGGTCAGCATTGATGTTTTCAGGCCTTGATGCTTCCAGAAATGTACTGTTGCCAACAACTGAAAATAATCTGGGGGCTTCTCTGTCTGGGAATGATGAAGAAACACCTGTGAACAAGCATAGTAGAGGAAAGTGGGCCTGAAAGGAACAGCTTGCTTTTCCACTGCTCAAACCTGAAGCTGGCATGAGGTGGACATGTCCCCTCATTCCCACGTGATAGAGAGACAGCCTGTAGTGCCTTGGGCAGAAATCAGGTGTGGTAAACACTGGACTGGCCTCTTGCTAGAGAGCTGGCAGTACAACAGATTGGATGAATGCAAGAGCATCTTGCTGACATTTGATTTCCTTCTGAATTTCACATGGCTTTCTCTTTCTTCTAAGTCGAGGTTTTTTTAAACCACAAAATGTGGTTTAAAAAGGAATGCAGAATGAAGTGATAGCAGCATCAGGAGGAGATAAGGTACTGTCCTTGTTTTTCAGGGACTAATTGCACAGCTTGACTTTCTAATTTGCTAGAATTGCTGAAAATTCCCTACAAAGGAGAACACAGGATAGAAATTACTGGCAGATTTTTCTGCCTTATTTCTGAATAATAGCACAAAGTAAAGAAAATCATGATCTAATTATAGGCAATTTGTTAGTCAAAAAATAGTTGAACAAATTGTTCTTTCTAGTGTATTTGTTAAATCTAAAATACACACACGAGGAAAGATTATTGCTGAGGTATTATCACTGCAGGATACCTTAAAAGTACTAAAAATAAAATGGAAACACAATCATTTATAAAATCTTGCCTTTTAGATATGCAGCTATGTGAAATGCAGTCCTTAAGCCTGGTCTAAGTTGGAGTCAGCCCTGCTTCAAGCAAGGGGGTTGGAAGAAATGTTCTTCAGAAGTCCTTCCAACCTGAGTAGCTCTGAGGTTGTATCAGATGTCCACAATTAATAAGGTGATGTCAGACTACTTCAAGTCTAAAAATCCTACTCAGGTCTAACAGAGGAAATGGACTTGGAATCAAGTGGAAATGGCTGAAGTTCACCGTGAGCACAACAGCCCATGCCTATCTTCTGGTTGTTCCATCAGGTTCCAGTTATTTTGCCCTCACTTTCTCCCTAACTCTGAAACAACACATGGTTTTAATTTTCTCCAGTTTATTTGCAAGCACCAAGTGAATGTGCAGCCCCTGAACAGTCCAAACTGTAATGTGGAAGGATCCTGTATGGTAAATTAAGGCAGTCAGAGTGAGAGCACAACAGGGAGCCTGTCCTCCCTCTTCCTCATTTCTCTCTGACTCAAACACATCCACGCAAGCAATAGACAACACACTTCCAGCTGCTGAGGGAACTGCTCTCTTCCTCTCCCTCACCCTCCCTCTGAATGCGGTTTTGCTTGCATGTCAGATGCACACTGCAGAAAGCAGATGTTGATGAATTTTAATCTCCTTGATTTCTCCAATGGATTAAACCTCAAATCTCTAAACATCCTTCTTAATGCTGCAGTAAGTAACACATATATATTGGTTACAGTGATTTACAACTAGAAAGAAAGAAAAAAAAAAAAGCAAAAGACAGTGAAAATGAAGCATCTGAAAATCAATCTATGCTGCAAGTGAATTGGATACAAGCATTCTGAATCCCCCACAACCTCTGCACCCTGCCCAGTGCTGGGGCATGTGCCTCTGGCTTCAGTAACAAAAAATGCAGGCACATGGTGCCCTGCACCTACCTGCAAGCCTTCAATGGCCAATTTGAGGATAGATGGTGTAAGCTTGGAGGCTTGCTTGAAGGAGAAGTTGCTCCAGTCTATAATTAGAATGAAGCCATTTATCTGAAGCTCCTGATCTTCGATGAGCACTTCCAAGGACAGTAGGATAGCCCGAAGGATATCTATGAAGGAGTTCCTAAAGACACAGCATTAAAAAACAAAAACAAAAAAACAAATCAATGGTGGCAGTTATCTTCAAACCTCCAGATAGTCAGCTTTGCTGCAGATGGGGTATGTGCGAAGGATGAAAAATCAATCTTTTTCTGTTGGAATTCTTTTTGAAAAGAAAGTTATTTCAGAGGTGTTACTAACGTGCTCCAGATCTAAAGCTCACATTCCTCTGCTTGATGTGATAAGTTTTGTTCACCGGTGGACGAAATAAACCATGAATTAAATCTTTTTTATTCTTCTGGCATACCTCACAATAGATTTTAGTTAAGCTACTTTGGGAAAATATTTATCTGTGGTGAAGTGAAAGAGATTCAGGCTATCAATTTAAATCCCTGCTCCTTTGGATATACTCCACCAGTTTTTTGTTAGTTTTTACTCTTTCACTTCAAAGAGGAATATCTAAAACAGAAAATAAGTCCGTACAATATTAATATAAATAGTGTGGTTACAAATAGACTGCCTAGTTTCCTACTCATGTAGAAGGAATGAACCCAGTCTTTGCACAACAAGGCCTATCCAGAACAGGTTGCCAAGTGAGGTTGTGAGTGCCCCTGCCTGAGGCATTGAAGGCCAGGTTGGATGGGGCTTTGAGCAGCCTGGTTTAGAGGGAAGTGTCCCTGCCTATAGCAGGGAGTTGAAACTAGGTGTCCTTAATGGTCCCTTCCAACTCAAACCATTCTATGATTCTGTGATTCATGATTCTGCTACCTCTAACGCTTCTAAAATCTGGATAATTATTTCAGTAACGCTTCATGGAAACAGTGCATGCAAGGCATTTTTTATAATCCATTTAAAATCAAAGTGAAATATTTGACTGAGAAAAATCTTCCTTTCAGATCCTATGCTTAGGAATTCAAATCTTTATTTAGTTGTCTACATAAATTATTGGGTTATAAAAAAATTAACCACCTGTACTTCCCCATACTTTTAGTGGAAATTACTTGCCTGGGAAATACTTTATCCAGTTTCCTCAACATGTCACTAATCTGGTTGTCCCCTGCGATCCCTTCCACTTCCCCATATTTGCAGCTTTAAGACACCGTGAATGACATAAAGTCAACACAAAGACTCTTTTTTCAGCTAAGTTCAAGGAGACATGAAAACGGCACAGAAGTCCTCCAGGTGGGCAGTTTTCAGGCCTGCTGGTTGCTGAATGCAGGGACTGGATAGAAATCAGACAGAATGCCACTCGAGGCTGAAGCCCTCTGCTCCTTAATCTTAAGGCTTTGAGACAGATCATTCAGCTGTGTGACTGATTTGCATCCAAATCATTTTCTATGCATGAGCACAGAACCACTTTCTATTAGTCCATCTCTTTTGTTCATTGCTTAATGTTCCCTTCCCTTTTCCATCTCCTTCCCCACCCCCTTCCAGTTTAACTCCCAGAAAAGAAAAGAGTTAAAAAAAAAAAAAAAAAGGTTAAATAAATTACTATTACACAAAAGGAAATGTATAAGGTGCTTTAAAGATTCAGCATGAAGCCTGCTGAAGTGAACCATTAATGAGTTACAAAAGATTTGCACATGCCCCTGAATTACAAAAGGGAGAAAGAAGGGAAAGTGCCTATCTGCTTTGGCTGAATGGGAAGGTACCACAAAAGAGGCTCTTCGAATATCCTGTGGAAAATGGAAAGTTAGCCCAACAGAAGCTAATGGTATGGCACAATAATGTAAAACAAAACTGAGAATGGTTTAGCAGAGGGATTTGGTGGGGAGATTAGCCAAAGGCATAACATGAAAATAAATAAAAAGAAATTACTTAATTATAAAAGGTGTAAGCAGGCTGTGAGAGAATCAAAAGGCTCGGTGGAGTACCAGCGTGCAATGGGAACAATTAAAGGGGATAAAGACATTGCAGGGAAATTAAATGATCTATATGCATGTCTCTGCCAGCAGCCATTTTGAAGAGCTACCTGGAAAATAAAGGTGAGGGACTGTTGGTAAATAAGAGGTCAAATAAGACACACTGCAAGAATCTCTGAGAAGATAACATCAGTAAAGGTTTTTGATATAACTTGCTCTAAACAGCACAAGATGTGTTTCAAATATAGTACTTAAATTAATTGGATTGCTCAGGTGGCTGAAAGTATAAACATGCAGAAATACTGGGTGTTGAAACCATTAAGATTGCCTGAATCATAGTATCACAGAATGGCCTGGGTTGGAAGGGACCTCAGGGATCATCAAGCTCCAACCCCCTGCCACAGACAGTGTTGCCAACTGCTAGATCAAGTGCTAGATCAGATTGCCTAGGACCCCATCCAGCCTGGCCTTAAACATCTCTGGGGACAAAGCACCCACAACCTCTCTGAGCAACCTGTGTCAGCACCTCACCATTCCCTCAGTAAAAAACTTCCCCTGACATCTAATCTAAATCTCTCTTCCTTTATTTTAAAACTATTCCCCCTCATCCGATCACTATCCACCTGTGTAAAAAAGTTGATTTGCCTCATTTATAAGCTCCCTTCAAACACTAGAAGTCTACAGTGAGGTCCCTTCACAGCCTGCTCTTCTCCAGGATGAGCAAGCCCAGTTCCTTCAGTCTATCTTCATAGAAGAGGTGCTCCAGCCCTTGGATCATCTTCATTACCCTCCTCTGGACCCTTTCCAAGAGCTCTGTGTCTTTTTTGTGCTGGGAGCCCAAGACTTGGCCCAGATGGAGACCCACAAGATCTGAATAGAGAGGAACAGTCACCTCCCTTGCTCTGCTGACCATTCCTCTTCTGATGGATATCTTTAGCCTTCCAGACTACAAGTGCATAGCACTGGCTTATGTTAAGTTTTTCATCACCCAGAACTGGTAAGTCCTTCTCAGCCAGGCTACTCTCAATTTGTATACATATCTGTATACAAATTGCATATACATATATGCATACATATACATACATATACGTACAGCAAAACAAACTGTCACTAAAAATCCTGACTGTCCCACAAGGCAGCAAGCTAACAAAGTTTGGGTAAATGTCATTTTTTTTGGCAGTTGCAGAAAACTCAGTTTTAGGTCTCAAAGTGAGTATGTTGTATGAGCCTCTTTCCTGTAATACTTAACTCAAAATATTTAAAAGGTGGCTTAGTTAAATGCAAATACAGATAAAGGGAATTTCATGAGACTGACTTGGGATACCAAATGAAAGAATGTATCACCTTTTCAGTTGAAAAAAGAAGTGAACTTACAAAAACATAGCATAGCATAAGCAGACGAAAGACAAAGGAATAGAAAATTGATGTCATGAGTCTATTTGAACAACTAAGAGGAGAAGACAGTATAGTGTACCTCACAAAAAGTCCATGGCCAAGACAGAATAACACTTAATATGTTGCAGAAATGACATGGAACAAGTCAGGTAAAAGACTATGACTTGCTTTGTTCTCTCTCCACAACAAATCACATGTGGAGAGCAGAAATGCTTCTTTAGCTTTGTTTTATGATTTTTGGTTATCGGTACTCCACATCATCACATCATGTAGTGTATTGGGAGTTAAAATGTTAATGCTCCAGTTTTGGGTCCCAGAGGAGAAGAACTACATACCCCAGAAGACTGTTCGTTGTGTTGTTATCATTTCTGTCAGGGGGAACAGATATAATGCCTTGGTAGGTCATCTGACCGCTCTCTTTTCTTCCTCAGGCTCTCCTCTCTGTTGCTCAATCAGATTGCACATCTCATCTCTGTGTTATGGTGAGGCCTATCCACCTTTTGGATGCTCTCTCTCATTATATTTGATTTATTAGCTTCAATTCTAATTTTATTGTATTATAGTGTGTTATCTTGCATTCCAATACCATATTTAGTAAATTAGTTTGTTTCTCCTCAGATCATTGCCACTGTTTTTAACTATTTTGGGGTCCCCTGTTTCCCTTTTCCAGAGATGCAGATTCACAAAATCCCTCCACCCCGCAAGTTGTGGAACTGGGCTGAACCAGCCCATAAAACATTGACAAGCTTCTAGCTGGGGGAGAAGTTGTTGCTGTGCTGCCAGGAGTATTTCTATTGGGATTGAAAAGCATAAGAGGAATTGGAAAGAAGGAACGGAAGAATACAGTCAGGTTACCTCGAATTACTGAGCTAACCAAAACTGAAGGAAAGATTTAGAAAGGGAGATGTGAACAACACTAAATATCATAGAATCATAGAATCATTTGAAATGGAAAGGACCCTTAAATATCATCTTGTCCAATTCCCCTGCAGTGAACAGGGGCACCTGCAGCTAGCTCAGGTGCTCAGAGCCTGTTCCAGCCTGACCTTGAATCAGTGGTGGTAGAGAAGTAAAGAAAGAATTTGAATTGTTCCCACACACAGCCAAAATATGGTATGCATGGAAGAATCATTAGAATCTAGTCAGTGTTGGCTTTTGAAGTCAATTTATGCATTGATTCATAACAAGTCCTTGCACATCGTGACCAGCTACCCTACCTTTCCACCAGTGAAAAGAGATGGCAGTCAGTCCAATCACCATGGGACTAGATCATTACATGTGATGGCCTTTAGATGAGAAAAAAAAAAACCATGTATGAGCTGTACAGGACTCAGAACAGATACTGACTGGAGAATAACTAGGAAGAATAACTGCAAAATGAAGAATCGTGAATAAACTTGGTGACTCACTTGGCTAATCATGCACCAGAGAAGATGAACAGCTGAGCAAAGGAGCTCACAGCTGTCTCATGCGCTGAAAAGCACTTGTCTCATCTGTGTGAGATGTGAATAACATATACAAGCACAGAAATTAGCAAGACTTGTCAAAGATTTACAAAGCAAATGGATTACATTCACAGCAAATGTTCATAACAAATATTTTTACCAGCCATGGGTAACTTTCTCTGTAGAACAATTCAAAGCTATTTGAAAACATTAGCTGCAAAAAATGTGAATAATTCCCCGGTTCCCAACAGGAGAAATTCTATACACAACAACATGAGAATTTTTTCTTATACTGTAGGACACAACCCCTTTCTTTGTCATAC